GGAAGCCAGAGACCTGTGCCAGGAGAAACCCCCAGCTGTTTTTTCAGATATAATGATTATATAAATATATATAAATATATTGCTCGGTGATTACCTGTCATTATTCACAAGTAACGGTGTCCATGGGCCTGTCATTATCTGCTAGACATGGAGAAGATCTGCTAGAGTATGTGCATGCTCGGCCTAATGTACATATATAGCTCGCATGCTTTCTATATGTATTACCTGTATGGGCTACTATGTACAGGCAGATGCTGGCATTCAATATGCTACAGCCATAGGCACTAGAGCTTGCCTGGCTACCGCACACACTGAGAAGTGTATGCAAGTCCCACCGCCATCACGCGAGTGCTTGAGGAGCTACGAGGAGACGTCGAGCTCGTCGTGGGTGGCGACACGCGCCGCGGCGGGCGCACTCGGGAAGTCGCGCCGACGGTGCCGCGTCGCGCCTTTGACCAAAAGCGGAAGGCACATGCGTCCTCCATCAGCGCCCTTTGCCTCCGCCCGCTCCCGCCTTCGCCATCACCGAACCCTACCCCTAGCGAGGGACAAGGTAAAGGTAAATAGCTGGGGAGGGCAATCCTAGACGGCCAATCGGCCGAACAAATAATAGGACCGACCGATCAGATGCTAGGTGATGGATGACACCTAGGTGCTTGCGCGGGGCAATATTCAGTCAGATGGAACGCACCCAAGGGAACAGTTCTGCAGGTGCTAGGTTGAAATTATACAGACTTGGATGGCGCAGCGCCATTCTGTTACAGACAAACCAAAGTATACATATCATAAGGCCCATTGTGAGGCGCGAGAAACTAGAAGTACAAGCAGGTCAACTGCATATGATGAGCTGGGCAGACTGGGGTACGTATATTCGGCGTAAAAATACGCAACTGGTGTCATTGATTGGGATTAGCAAGTTCCATACAGGACGATCTTGGTGAAAATCACGTTGTCGTGCACATCACGATTGGCAACGAACAAACGTCGGGGGAAAGCGAAAACCCTTTAACTGAGTTTTAGTCAATGCAAGGTTCGCGTAAGCTCGAAGGGCATGTACATACCTCACAAGGAAGTGCCTCACCTTGAATGACCTTCCAAGAATGTGCTGACCTTTAAAGATTGTTAAAGGAAGCCGGCAAGATTCCCATCCCACTCAAATTAGGCGACGACCTTGCCAGGTATTCGTAGGAGATGGGCAAGCTTTCAAGATCGCACAAGCTTAGCTGAGCAGAGAGCATGAGCCGTCGTGGGATCCGTAGCTTCGCCTACTGATCGATAGTGCTGGATAGCCTACGGTACGCGCAGAGGCAGCGAGAACAGCCTGCGCGCGACGGAACAGACGCCGATGGGCTGCTGGCGCTCATGACGTCATGCGCTCGATCCCGGCCTTGGCTTCCCGACTTCTCGTGCGGTTCCTTGTCGCCTTCGCGCGACTCGACTCTTTCCCTCTCACCACCACCTTCACCCTCTCCCCGCCGCCGCCCTTTCGATGCGCGTCTTCGCTCTTTGCACCGCCGGTGCATTAATACCGTTCCCGTAATGCTACACGTAGCAAATCCCGCTGAATTTGGCCTACGCCTCCGGGGCGGTATCCGGTGCGCTCGCATATACTCATGCTCGCCTTGACCACTCCTCACTGACACCATTCGATAGGCTCCACCGCTAAAGCCTTTTGACGGAAGATTCTACTCGCCGAGCTTCAGGTATGTTGTTCTTTCGAACCAGCCGTAGATTGAGCTTACATTCTTCCAGGGATGTCGAGCTTCTGCGCGCGGGGCGAGGCGACGCGTCGGCACGGCGCTCATGCCCGTAGGGCGGTTGTATGGTCTGAAGGTCTTTCTATACGTAGTTGTCCTACTCGCCATGTACTTGTATTTTATGTACCATCTTATGAATACATCGTTGCAATCATCGTCGCAATGAACAATTGCCTAATCGGGAAAGAATATATACCTGATTATTGGT